TTTTCCCCCAAAAGCCACAACTTTTCTGCATTGCCTAAAAGGGTTACAAAAAGCCAAAATAAACACAACAACAACAAACACATTGATCGAAATGCCTTATTCTCCACAACTCCAACTAAACATTTATATATTTTACGTATGTTAGTTTGCAAATTGTGATGTATTTTTATGGATGTATTGAATTAAATAAATTAATAAAGAGAAGCAGCCAAGAGAAATGAGACAAAAGTGAAAAACGTGAATTTTTGTTGGAAAAGTAAACACAAAATTTTTTGGTTAACAAAAAAATATCGAAATCGAAGAATAAAAGTACAGTAAATAAAACAACAACAAAGTGATATAAATGTGTAGGCAATCTTTTTCATAAAACAAGCAACAACAAAAACATTAATAACAAATAAATCCTAAAAAAGTTAATCATCTAGTTTAGAGTTATGAGCATTTTGTAAATCCGATTGAAAGCCTGCAAAATAAAGATGAACTCAAAAAGAATTGRAAATATGAATTTAAAGTGATTTGCACAACAAAAAAAAACCATTATAGTATGTGTAAAATGTTGCAAAATTTAAAAAAGCGCTTCTTAGCATATCATTCACAGCTTCTAAAATGTTTGTTATAAATTCAGAAAGTTTTTTTTTTTAATTTTTAAGAAAAACGCAAACGTACTTATATTTTTCAAACACTTACAAGCTTAAGATGTGTATAAGAGACAGGTTTAATTTAAATTAACTTTTGTTATAATATTTTTTTGTATTATAATTTTTTCTTTAATTTAAATTAATTTTTTATATAATTTTTTTTTCCACCAAAATTTTCTACATCAATTTTCCTTATTTATCATACACATATAATTCTTAATAAGCACCACCAGAACCAATCAACAATACTTATGAAACCAAAATCAGAAACAAATAAATTTTTAAGCATAAAAAGTTCTTGTAGCGGAAAAGGAATTTTTAGAAATTACAATACAAATAAATTATAAACAAATATATGATAATTTTTTAGCGTTGAATTAAATGTGTGTGCGCCGGTAACGGTTTTTCCACTTGACATATAGTAGCGAAACAGAAAAAAAAAACAAAAACAAATAATTGCATGCTAGTTATAAACCAATAGAAATTTCGCGAAAATAATTCAAAACATAGAGAACAAAGGCATATTGAAAATTAGTGCAGAAAAAAATAAAAATTAAAATGTTGCAAACGCGTAAGAAAGGCAAAACGAGTATAAGTGAACTGACATTAAAGCGTGATTAAATATAAAGAAAAATTTAAAAGTAAATAAATTGCTAAAACTGAACAAAAACAAAAGAAACAAACACACGTTGTTGTTATGTAAAAATGGTATTTTTAAATGCTCTACAATAAAAAAAAAATTAACAAATAATAATATTAATTAAGTAAAATATTGAAAAAAAAAATAAAACAATTAAAAATAACAAAATAAAAACTCAAAAATAAACTTTGCAAAGAGAAAACATTACAACTTTAAATTTACTACAAAAATTATTGCAAAAATTACAAATTTAAATTTTAACTGTAAAGTGGGCAGTGTAAAGGGAAAAGCATAATACACTATGCAACATTTATAATTTTTTCTGTCTACATTTAATTAAATTTAAGTAATTTTATGTTTATTATTAAATATAAT